GAGTGTCCCACAAGAGTTTCCTACAAGAGTGTCCCACAAGAGTGTCCCACAAGAGTTTCCTACAAGAGTGTCCCACAAGAGTTTCGTACAAGAGTGTCCCACAAGAGTGTCCTACAAGAGTGCCCCACAAGAGTGTCTTACAAGAGTGTCCCACAAGAGTTTCCTACAAGAGTGTCCTATAACAGTGTCCCACAAGAGTGTCCCACAAGAGTGTCTCACAAGAGTGTCCCACAAGAGTGTCCTACAAGAGTGTCTCACAAGAGTGTCCCGCATGTCCCACAAGAGTGTCCTACAAGAGTGTCCCACAAGAGTGTCCCGTATGAGTGTCCCACAAGAGTGTCCGACAAGAGTGTCCCATAAGAGTGACCCACAAGAGTGTCCTACAAGAATGTGCAACAAGAGTGTCCCGTAAGAGTGTCCCACAAGAGTGTCCTACAAGAGTGTCCCACAAGAGTGTCCTACAAGAGCGTCCCGTAAGAGTGTCTCACAAGAGTGTCCCACAAGAGTGTCCCGCAACCGTGTCCCACAAGAGTGTTTCACAAGAGTTAAGAGTGTCCCACAAGAGTGTCCTATAAGAGTGTCCTACAAGAGTGTCCCACAAGAGTGCCCTACAAGAGTGTCCCACAAGAGTTTCCTACAAGAGTGTCCTATAAGAGTGTCCCACAAGAGTGTCCTACAAGAGTGTCCTACAAGAGTGTCCCACAAGAGTGTCCCGCAAGAGTGTCCCACAAGAGTGTCCCGCAACAGTGTCCCGCAAGAGTGTCTCACAAGAGTGTCCCTTAAGAGTGTCCCACAAGAGTGTCCCACAAGAGTGTACCGCAAGAGTGTCCCAAATGAGTGTCCCACAGAATTGTCCCACAAGAGTGTCGCGCAACAGTGTCCCGCAAGAGTGTCTCACAAGAGTGTCCCTTAAGAGTGCCCCACAAGAGTGTCCTGCAACAGTGTCCCACAAGAGTGTCCTACAAGGGTGTCCCACAAGAGTGTCCTACAAGAGTGTCCCACAAGAGTGCCCCACAAGAGTATCCCACAAGAGTGTCCTACAGGAGTGTCCCACAAGAGTGTCCCACAAGAGTTTCCTACAAGAGTGACCCACAAGAGTGCCCCACAAGAGTGTCCTACAAGAGTGTCATTTGGACATATGTAGCTTTTCGAACGTGTTTGCATTCGGGTTCGTGGGCTCCATCTTGTTGTTTGTTTAACCTTTTGTGTTTGTGATCCACTACAATGACAAAGTCGATGGGCAAACTGTGCATAGATTTATACTGTACAGGTCTGTTGAAATTTGACTTGTATCGGATTTGGTTCATACCGGCCTTGATTCTATTTGATCAGGTGACTACCGAGATTCCCATAAAGACGGTCAGTAGTATTTTTGTAGAAGGAGAGCAATTTTAGGGATTCTGGTGTTTCACTCAGCAAGTTCGTTCTCAGCTGCGAGGAGATGTGGGGCAAGCTTGTCGGTATTTAAGTGTCAACCCTTCCAAAGGCATACAGTTTGTTCCACCGTTCCGACAGCCGTTCCAAGTCGAGAGCAGATTGTGACAATGGTCTGCAATGAGGCGTGAATGACTTTCGGGAGGATTTGAAGCGCATGATGCAGGATGTGCTCAAGGGTGATGGCCAGGCGCGCTTCGCTGTGAGCAGGAATCAT